CGAGGGGCTCTGTCCCTGCATCCACTCATGTATCTACAATAAACACAGAAAAATGACTCGCTTTGTACCCAAAAACGAGTCCTTCTTTCTCTCTCTCTGAGCGTTACCATCAGGTAAATGTCCCTCGGTCCCTCACTGGGGATGCCTGGCTCTGGACTCTGTGATGTCCAGCATCTTTGAAGTGAGACTTCATCCACTGGCATCTGGCCCCACTCCTGGATGTGGTTTGATGACCGGCACCGGTAATAATTTGAATTATATATTTTGAATTATATGTATATGTATAGAGAGATATAAATATATATATATATAAGTAATTAATCATAAATGTCTGTGTTTACACGCTTGCTTTTCTGCTAATAATGTTGGAAATTGTAATATACACTTGCTTTACTATTTGTAGTCATACTTACTAAGAGTAAGCTCTAATAAAGATCTTCATGGGAACCAAGCTCCGTGTCCTTGCGTACTCTGGGGTCCTACAACCCCACTGCTGCCACCGTCCCATGCCCGTGGGTTGGGTGGTGACTGTGACCGTGTCACCTACTGGCACCGAGCTGCGTGCACGGGCACGCATTCCCCCCGGCCGCCAAGCGCCGAGGAGGATGTTATCAGATCCTCCCTAATTTGGCCGCTTTTTTATTGACTTTGCCAAATAAAAGCAAACATTTGGGCTCCCCAGCAGCCGTTCCTGGCTTATCTGTTTGTCGCCGCTGGCTCCGCGGGGACAACAGATGTGGCCTTGGTGAAAAGGGCCACAAGTGCCCTCGGAGCATTATATAGGGGGGCTCTATAAGCCCTTGGGGGCTGAGGCTCATCTACGTCTGCTCACCATGAAGATCCTCCTGGTTTTCGCTGCCCTCGTGGCAGCCGCCTGCAGCGAGCAGCTGTTCGTGGGGTGAGTCCTGCCGAAAGCAAGGGGGGTTGTGGAGAGACCCTGGTTGGGGACAGGGACTGGGGTGAGAGGTATCCGGCCCTGTCAGCTCGTCTTTGGGGTCAATGAGAAGGGTGATGCCCCAAAGGAGGGAAATCCGGCGGCTTTTGCTGTGTGGACACTGGGAAAGATGTGGTTTCACCCCAGTTTTGGATGGGGGTTTTGGGGACAGAACTCCCAGGTACTTTGCTAGGTGAAGGACTGACCCAAAATGGGGGAAACCTTATTGCCAGAGAAGGAGGGCATTTCCTGGGGAAACCCAGCCAGGCTGGAGTAGAGGCTGTGTTAAAAAATACCTAAGAAATAGATACAGACAGAACAATAGATTAGATATTTCCTAACATTTTGGGAGCTCTCATGGTCAAAGGGAGGATCGAGACCACCTCGGTCTCTCTGGCCCTTGGTCCTTTTCCCATTGTGGCTGTTCTGAACCTGCATTTTTCACTCCCGACACCAAACCCCCAACATCTGATGCCCTTCCCAACCCACCGAGCCAGTGCAGACCTCCCGCAGCCTCCACCCTGCCTGTGGTGGGGCCACGTCAGCGCTGGAGGCTCAGCTCCTTCCCCCCTTTCTGCAACCCCTCCCACATGTGCTGACGGCTCTGCCTCCCTGCAGGGACCAGGTCCTCCGCATCACGGCCAGGGATGAGGAGCAGATCACTCTGCTCAGGATGC